ACAGAAGATAGAAAACCTTAACAAAAGCACCATTCATAGAATACACTGGGAAGTAACAGGAGGTCCAAGCTAAGCACAGAGACATAGAGAACTAAGTGCTAATAATGCAGAGGGTCTTCCACCCAAAGCTATTTGTCACTTGAACATTTGAACCTGCTTTAAGGACAATCTAAAATAAGATTGGACACCCAGCAGCTGCATTCATACCAAGCTTTCCTTGGAGAAAAGAAATGGGAAAGAGGGATATTTTTCTTTAAGCTCTCCTCCAGACATAAGGCTGCGGCTAGGCTGTATACACCAGTATCAGCTTTAAAGTAGCCTTATTGGATATCAATAATAGCATAGCTGCAGCCTCCTTCTCAGCCTTACAACCTGAGGAAATTCACAAATTCCTGGACACGAATATCTGTGTTGTACTCATTTTTAATACCTGAGGCAGTTAAGTGGAAAACTGTTTTGGGGTCATGTCTACTGCTGGATTGCAGAGTAGCCATACCAGCGACAGCCTCCTCTCAGCAGCTCTGGGCAAATCCAGTAAACCAGCCTCACAGCCCCACAATATGTATCCAAGCCAGTGTTTAAATGAAGTGAAATAGTCTCATATCCAGGCTGTCCCCCCTCACATTTACATGGGCATAACCCAAATGACCATTTGGCCAGCTCAGGGCAGCTGAACTGCTGTTTCTCTCAGCATGAGATGCCTTTCTTGGGGCATAGAGGGAGGAATGGAGACTCCAATACCCTCCCCATCCCAAATACACATTGCCTTTTCCACAAAAACTACCAGCTATGCTGTTATGCCCCGTGCCAGGGCTTGCTTGCCTGCCTTGCCAAAGAGAGCCCCAGACCTGCCTGTCTGACATGGCTTGTCACAGGTAGTCACCACAGGGCTGGGGGGAAAGGTGGGAGCAGCTGGTTTCATTTATTTATTTATGGAATGAAAAGCCAAACTGGGAAAGGACTTTGGTACAGTGCAGCCAAGTGACTATTAAGTACTGCTTTAAAAAGCCGCAAGGTCACCTTTACTGACATTTGGATAAGGATTTTATAGAAGTCACAGGACTGGGAGATGGACTTGTTGTGCCTATGATCACAGGGGAGAGAGGGATTTATGTGCTGGTCAAGAATGCTGCATTGTTGTGACTCATGTTCATAAATGCTCATTTATTAGCCTGTTGGATAAAAGAGGTCAATTGGACTTTCTTTTTTCACTTACTGTAGTTCCAGGTGGCTTCTGGACTCTGTTGGCACACCCTCATGAAATTTAACAGCCCCCTACCTACCGATACTCTCCAGGTGTCATGTCCTTGCGTAGTCTGTCTTCTCACTTGGTTAGACCTTAGCCATTTCAAGTCTGTACTTTTTTTGAGCATGATGTGAGAATTCATATATATCATCCTCTCAAAGGAAGAACCAGCACACAGGAATGCTGGAATCTGAAGGATTTGGACAGATGGGCTTTGCTATAATGTGTGCTTTGAAGCTGGTGGTTGTATATAGATGTCTGTGTCTGTGTCTGTGTCTCTGTGTGTGTGTGTGTCTCTGTGTGTGTGTGTGTGTGCGCTTAGAAGCAGAAGAGACTCTGGTTGTTAAGCCCTGCACAGCCTGAACAAGCAAGGATGCAGCCTTGAGCAAACCTGAGAAGAACGAGTCCAAGAAGAAGAGGATATGTTCTGATGCCATGCACCTTCTGAAAAAAATATTATTGGCAAGCATGTCTACGTCAAAGAAACACCTGGTTCCACCATTTCTTCTCCCCAGTGGCATAACATACAGGATAGGTTTTGGCCAGGTGGTACAAAACATAAGGATCATGGCAAAAATAATCCTCATCTGAAAGCATGTGGTATAGGTGTGCATTTGTGTCTCCTTATTAAATTGATGTTATATAGACATTACATCATTAAGGCACTGTCTGTGCTTCAGTTTCCAGAAACCAGACTTATCTGTTCAGTGACTATGACTTGGACCGAAAACTTCCCTGCCCTTTTCTCACGTTAGCCCTGCAGGGAGGTGCAAACACGAAGAATGTCAGAAACTTCATACTAATTTGCTAAATATTTAACATAATTAGTCATTGGAGCCCTGTCCCTTTCTCCCATTGAGGTGACCAAGAGACAGATCACAGGACTAATGGTATGGTCCCCAGCACTTGTTCTGTGATGCCACCTGATTTTGGAAGATGTATTGGAGTCAGGCAGGATCTGCAGGCAGAAGGAAAGAGAAGGGGAACGGTCAGCACAGGCTGCAATGCTGTTGTACCTTGGCTGGGGCTGACTGGATCACTTGCACAGCGTCTGGGAAGTGAGGGCCTGCTCCCTGCATCTGAGATCCTGACAAGTGGCCAGTGTCTGACACCAAAGCCCAAGAGAGGGCAGAGAGGGCAGTGGCTTGGTGCCATGGTGAGCTGTGCCATGGAATGGAAACCTCGACAGTGAGAGCAGCCTGACCTGGCTGCAGTCAGCATGTACGTGCTGGAGCAAGGAGGCTGGCAGCCGCACCATCCACATCCCATCGAGCGACCCGAAATGTGCATGTGACACCACACGGTGCTAACAGGGAGGGGGCCTGGGTCCAAGTCCCTGGGACCCATCCACCTTATGTAAAGCTGTTCCTGGAAAGGAGGCAGGAAAATGTCTGGGCTTACGCTGATATGGTTTATCTCCACTGAAGGACTTTGTCCCATATATGAATCAGAAAAGCTCCACGTGCTATCAGCACAGTAGAACAACAAAGATTCTGAATCAATATAGCGTGGAGATAAAAAATCCTTTCCCTATCATCCTCTTTGCTCTAGGAAACTTGCCCTGTTCCTGAAGCAGAGGCCATTGCAGGAGCTTTATAGACCCACTGTGTAGGAATTACTGCCCTTTCACAGCCGTTATGTCAGGACTCAGCCAAGAGCATAATCAGTATCCAGAGTAGTAAAGGTTTGACATTGATTTCACCATAAGCATCCCAGCCCACCGAGCCTGCTGGATATAGCTCCACTCTCATTGGTGTTTGAACTTGCTGGTTCATCTCAGCTTGTATGTCTTCACTGAGACATAGACACAACCAGAAAACCTCCATCAGACCCCACAGATGTGGGGTGGACTTAAGGATGGTCCCTAGTGCACTGACACAGTGGGGTAAGGCAGGCAGAGAGAAGGGGCAGTGCTCCCAGTGGACTGACATTTAGTCCACGTACCTAATAACAGGTAGCTAGGCACAACATACATGCAAACACTCCCTTCTCCACCACAGTGCCCTATATAAAAATATCTGGATAACTCTAGTCCCACTCAGACTGACAGAGGCAGCTGCTGTAGCAGAGTTTTTAATCCTAAAGCAGAGTCTGTTGTCATTGGCAGGAAATCTTATTGTGTTGGACAGGCAATCCTAGGCCTTAATTAAATACATCGCCCTCCCCACAGAACCAGACAGACCAGACTGGAATCAGACGAAGCATGTTGCTTAAGCCAGGGACCACCTGGCTGTAACTTCATCTAGGTGACAGTACGTGCTTTTGTGACCCTCTCTGAAAGGCTGAAACCCCAAGCAAGCTCCCAGAGGTAAAGTGAGGATTTATAAACAGCAAGAAACCAGAGATGCACTCTTCTGGGAAGGAATTTATTATTCCTTCTCCTTTTAGAGACTGAAATTTTGTAGCCTTTTCCCTGACCAAAGACGCAGCAGTTCATGCTGGTTCAGGATTGATTTCTAAGGGAGCTGGTGGCTCCTCCTCTGTCTCCACTGCACAGAGTATAGTAGGGGGTACTTTGAACCAGATCCTGCTAGTAGCCCCTGTTACCGAGCACCTCATTTTTTCTTTCTGGTGCTTGCCCTCACACTGTCTCGGTGAGTTAAGGCACAATACTTTATCCACACAAAGAAGAGTAGCCATGTCACCTCCACACATTTCCCCTAACCACAACCCAGTGATATCAAGATAGGGAGAGGGCAACCGGCAGAGGGAGGCATCTTGCCACTCTCTCTGTCCTTTAAGTCCACCACAGGACGTGGGTGTGCACCTGTAAACAGAGTGCAGCATGCACTGCAGAGGCACCTCAGCAAAAATTCAAGAGGCTACAGAGACCAGAGGTTGAGTCTCAAGAGCATATGCTGGTGTTGCAGCCTCCCTCCTGAGCTGATCAGTCCTTCTTTCCAGTGTCTGGAGGGAGCAATGCACTGTGCTGCTGCTGGAAGCTGAAGGTGCTTGCACATGCCACCTCCCCATAAATAAACAAAGGACTCTGCCTCACCACATCCCCCCAGCAGTGGCCACGGCCTTCAGTCAGGGAGCACTTCTCAGCCTAAGCTGCTCTTTTGAGCTGTGAGGTCCGGTAACCAGGTCAGGTCCCCATGGTGACATCTGAGTGCTCTGAGCCCCCGGCTGAGACAGATGCCATGTGCTGCTGAGGTCATGGACTGACAGTGCAGGATGCGGCACAGCCAGATAAGTAGGCAAAACCCCTTTCCACTTTCTCCTTCTCCCCCATTTCTCACTGGAGCATTTGTAAAGCCAGGAGCAAACACACAACACTGGTGCAGGGATTTTTATTTTCTGAGAAACACATACTTTACTTCCCAGTGCAACAGACCTTCAGATACATAGTGGCGGCTGCCAGAAACGTACAGATCACAGGCAGTACTGCTCTTTATAGTTTTGCTAATGCAAGTTTAACACCTAAACCCTCCAAGAGTTGGCAGGCCCTGGAGACTGACTGGCTGCATTCGCCCTCACAAAGCAAAGTAATACTGTGCTGGAAGCTCGCCATAGTAACCTGCTAACAAACTGACCTGTGGGAAGAATGGGAATCTGTGTCCTTGCTTGCCATCCTTACAACACTTTCATTTGGGTCATCCTTTCACACTCTCATTCACCACACAACACTTCCCTTGTTCCTCCGCATCCCTTCATCTCTGGCCATGCCATTTGCCTCTCAGATGAGACTGAGGGAGGGAGAGAGAGAAAGGATATAGGATAGGCAGAAGCTCACAAATAACCCCTAACACTATTTTTCCTAAGAAAGCAGATTATTTCTTTTGTATACATGAAGCCAAGAAACAACAGTTTATCATGGATATCACTCTGAGTGCCTCTATTCTGCCTGGAGTGACTCTTGGCCTCTCATCAAAGCTTTCCCACACATCATGGATGGCCAGTTGTGAGATGTCCAAAACAGTGCTGGGGAAGCTATCTAAGATGCTTGGCCAGTCCTCCATCATGATATTCCTTTGTGCATATGTGCTAACCCTGGAAGCCGAACTCCTTGTACTTGGCGGCCATATCATTTCGGAACAGCTCCAGGGCCTTCTTCATTGCAGCCTGGGCATCAGCCCCAAAGTCTGCAGCATGTTTTTCAGCAAGGACCTTGATAATGACTTCAGAAATGAACTGTGAGGAAGGAAAGAGAGAGAGAAAAACTGAAGGGACACTCAAGGTTTATTTTCAGAAAAACCAGACTAAGAAATAGGTTGCAGAGTCTGGAAATATCTCTGAGCTAATTCAGTAGCCCTCTGTGAAGTCTCTGGAGAGACAGTGAAGTTTAGTATGCAAGGAACCTGGCCTAGGCAGAAGAACTGGGCTCTATTCCTAGCTCTGACACTGATCTGCTTCATGACCTTGAGCAGACCATGGCCCTTCCCACTTTTTGTCTGCCTCATCCATTAAGACCGAAAATTCATGCCGTATGTTTGTATAATATTTAGTTTTATGGGTTTTGGTCTCCAGTGGATCCTCTAGGGCTTCCTATAAAATTGTATGTCCCATGTGTCCAGCCACTGACAGGTCTTATGTAATACAGCTTCCCAGGCATGCAGAGGCTGCATGGGTTGGTTTGTTGTTGTCAAGGGTTAGTCAGACTGTGTGTGGTGTTTGGAATGGGAAATCTAAATTTGGATATTCACATACCATTCGCATGCCATTAGCCCTTTCTGTGCCTCCTGCTGCCTGTACACAGAGACTTTGGTCTTGAGGGAGAACTCACTGAAGTCCAACGAGTCATTGGTAAATAAAAGCACAGCTCTCACATAGATGTCTTACACACATTCACTGCACTTCAGACACCAAGATTCCTTGCCCTTTTCCATACCTCCAAATATTTGACAGGGATTTTGTGCTTGGTCGCGTGGGTCTGAGCCAGGGGCTTCAGCTCTGACTCGTGATTACCCTTCTGTTTCAGGATTTTTCCCAGCTGGGTAAGAACAGTAGCTCCATGTTTTTTCAGATCCTCAGAGCCTTTCATTGCATCAGGGGTCTTCAGGCCTTTGAATTTTTCAAACTTTTCAATGGTCTCAGGGTGGTCCTGAAAGAGTCTGTGGACAAAAATAGAGGGACTTGTCTTTGGAGAGCAGAAGCTCCTGACATACCTCCCTTTGAGTATTGAATCTACTGTAATCCCATCCTTTTACACATGTCCTGATACAATCACCATTTCCTATTTCCATTCCCTCTGGTCGTGACAGAGACACTGCCCTAAACATGTCCAACTAGAGTAACAGAGTAAGTGTCTGTATTTTTTTCATATAGCTCTGCTAACTCTTTGGCACCGGTCCTCTGGGTTATGTTAACTGAAGACAGAGACAAGAGTCAAGGCTGGTTGTGGTACTGAGAGGTGAGTTTTTGCATTCATCTGAAGGAAAACCAAAACCAAACAAAACCACTTGTCTTCATTGAGTTACTATTGCTGAGGAGCCAACCTGTAGACCTCTGGCTCTCACAAGGACTCTATTCCCAGCCCATTGTTCATTTACCAGGAAAGGAGAGTTCTAGAAGCTTCTCACAGATAAAAAAAAAAACAAAAACGATGGTAGCAGTCCTCAGCCACAGGTCCCTTACATCTGGAGCTCAGGTTTTCTTGAACATCAGCTGTATGGGAGTGCTTATTGTGCCCCCCAACCCTATGATTGCAGACACAAAGGAATTTGGTTCCTGCCTTTTTTTTCCCCACCCTCTTTCCCTTGCCTCTCTTCTCCCTCAGAAACTCCTTGGAGGAACAAGGAATTGTTTGGCTGGGGAGCACAAAATTACAGGGGAAGGGCTGCCATCTGTTTATTTAATGCCATGCTCTACCATGCGATATTTGTAATAAAAATTGTATTACCTTTCCATTTGGAACTGCTTTTACCATCATGTGGCAAATTCAGAGCCAAAGTAGCCACCTCACAGAAACTGATACGTGAGGAGGGCTCAGGTTCCTGCTACCCCTCCAGCATGCCTGCTCTGGACCGCATGAGGGGAAAGCCATCACATTGCCACTCACTTCATTCCCACTTCATTCCTTTCCCTTCAAATGGCAGCTGAACTGGGCCATTATAAAGAAGGTAAATAAAACAGCTCCCTGCTTTGTCTCATCTTTGAAAAAAGGTTTTCAGAGCTCTTCAGTGGATATGCCTGATGGTGTGGGCTCCTTTCCTTAGCCATGCTTAGGGTAGGAAAGCCCCCAAGCAGGTGCCATATCCCCAGGAGAAAAGGACAATGAGATCGGCATGGGAAAAGGAAGGCCTTTTGAGTGACGGAGCCAATGCTACTGACTTTCCTGGCCTTTTCTGTACCCTTCCAGCACATTGTACTCTGCACCACCTCAGGGGAGATCCGAAGAGAATTTCCTCAAAGTCTCCATCCCTGCTGGTCTTTAAAGGACAAGCTAGGCTCCAACGCCCACCTAATGTTGTTTCCCACTGCAGTATCTGGGTGTTCCCCAGTCAGGGTGCCAGGATCTCGTGGAGCTTGGTGCCCTCTCAGATGGAGATCTCATGAGCACTCCTGCTCTGACACAAGAATCGTGGAGGAGGGAAGCAGGGGGAAGGATGTGCTTCATTTCACACACCTAGACTGCAAATTCATCATAAGGTAATACACAAGTGCTACCACACAGATTTCTGGTCAGAAAGCGGGATGAACAGGGCTCTGTGAGGTGACACTAAGGTGGGGAAAGGGAAACACTCAGGTACTTCACAGATAATTTTACTGAAATAGTAAATTCCAAGAAAATTTTCACAGAGGTGATTTTCCTCTCATTTCCTTCCCTGCCTCCACATATCCTTGCTGCAGAGCACCTGAAGACTCATGACACACAATTCTCTCCAGCATTTCTTACTGTAGTGCTTGGGAAATGGGGATCCAAAGCAAAGCTTAGCCCCCAGAGGCAGAGGGACAAAGCACCACCATCTTTCAAAAGCAGCACCGGCCTGCTCCTGCACCCATAGAGAGATGGAGACAGAGAAGCACAGTCACTTTACACAGTGAGTTACTTTTAACCCAGAAACCACAGCACTGGAAAACCCACCACCCTACAAGAAAGCAAACAGCTTGTTGAAATAAACACTGACAAACATCTCTCATCAAAGGCTCAGCTTTAATCTTAGAACAGAAGCTTCTTGCCTACCTCATTAAAATTATATGCCCATGGCCGGCGAGGTCAGACTCCACCTTTCCCCAGACGGTCAGGACCTGCTGCCATTCCTGGTCACTGAGCCCCATGGTTCACTGAAGGCAGATCCTGAGTGCTCCCTGCAGTCGTTGGCCTTTCCCCAAAGGGTGGTTGGAGAGCTCACCTCTGGGATTTATAGCCCCTGTTCACAGACCTACACCTGTCAATCATTAGCTGAAAATCTTGCTCTCTTTCAGGCTTGTCTAACCTAATCAGCCTCCCTGTTTTTTCCTAGGGAGCTATTTTGGGTCAGGTACTATTGTGGGTGCCACTGATGGCATAATTTCTGCTTTTCGTATTGGACTGGCACATGTCCCACTCTACACATAAAGGGCACTGCCGAAACACAGTGCCAGGAGCCTGTCCTAGGTTCCCAAGGACCCAGAGACAGTGTCAAGCTGTATGCCAGGAGATTCCTGAAGAGCACTGTCATCTGCAAGGCCACCCTGCCTCCCTCTCCCCTGGCCTGGCAAGGGCAGGCAGGAGAGAAGGCCAGGTCAGACAGAAACATTGGCTCCATCACTCTGAAGGCCTTTCCTTTCCCATGCTGATCTCATTGTCCTTTTCTCCTGGGGTAACACACCGTTTGTTATTAGAGCAGAGCACAATGTTAAAGAGACATGTCCTTAACCATATTCAAAGCAGCCCAGTCATTTCCCCAGCTGCTGCAGGAGGAAGGAGAGGGAAAAGAGCTGTATGGGAGCCAGTTATGCCACACCTGTTTGCTGGGATCCTGCTGCCTGCTCTTCTGGGAAACACCTAGGATTAGCTGTTGGATGAGCCTGGATATTGGAGCCAACGGATGTAGAGCCGAGCCAGGAGGGTAGTTTGCAGCGGGCTAGAGACACAAGGACACAGCAAGGCTTCACTCAACACCCACCCAGCCAGCAGTTCTGGTCTCTGGCTACCTCTGTCAAGCCAAACAAATATCAATCAGTGTTGAAGGAAAAGCCATTGGGCTAACAAACCACATGGGTATGTTTTGGGACACCTCCCAGACTTTCTCCTCCCTCTCTGTCAGGATTGATAACAGCCTGGCACACCAATGGGATGACTAGTCCCTTCCAAGCGCTGGCTGCAGTCAGAGCACAGCCTGATAACAAAGCTGAGCTAGCACTGCTGTCCCAAACCATGTGGAAAATGTGTCCCAAACCTATCTCTGATGTTTCCAAGACGCAAGCAGATGAGAAATATCAACAAAGGGCTGAAGATACCTGCCTTGGGATTCAGGAGCAGAGATGCACCCTATGGTCTCTACCACAGTGCTGCACAACCTGAGGTGCATTGCTGCCTCTACACCCTTCCACTCTCTACAACACAGGAACAGGTTCCCTGTTCCAGCCTTGCAAGGGGAGAGAAGTGCCCACATTACAAGGGTAATCAGGCAGCAAGGATGATGGAGGCACAGAGCCTCACACCCCTCAGAAACACAGAGGTTTAAAGGGAATAGTTTGATTAAGAAGTGTGGCAAAAGCCAAATGGAGGTGTCAGCTGGTTTCCAAGTGTAGAGGTACAAAAATTTTGGCCATTACATGTTACAAGCTTCTGTCAGCCAAATGAGCCTGTGACCCTGAAATCCACCCCTTCCCTCTCCTCTATGCACCAGTTTGCTTCACATCCAAAAAGCCACATCCTAAACACTTCAATTCCAAGATTTCATCCTGATATATCTGTGCAAACACCAGGTTGCTACCAGTTACCTAAACTAAGATAAGCTGCTGGAGTAGCACCTAGGACTCCTCCAACTCGTTCCTTGTGCAGTTTTCCACAGCACAGGACTGAGAGGGGAGAGATCACATACCTGCAACCTCACTGCCCAAGTACTCAGAGCAGTAAACAAGCATTTGTACCCTCTCAGGTTCAGCCTTGGGTAGAATGCTGAATATTGACCTTACAGGTTTACAAGCCTTTCAAACATGGCAGAAACATGCTCCTGGTACACAAGAGGCTGCTGCTTATGCACCGAGCTCTGTCTTATTCCCCAAGCTGAAACTACTCAATTCAGTGTAAAACTAAAGTTGTAATAGCTTCGTTTGAAAGTGGTCGACTCTTCTCTCTCTGTAACTTTCTCCAGGGCTGTGAAGTCAAAAGTTCTGGTATGAATATTAATGTTAAATGGTCAGAAGACTTAAAACGAGCATGAGATTCCATATTGCTCTTTTTGCAGGTGAGGTAATAATGAAATAAAATCATAAGCTTTCTCCCTAGAGCTTAAATAAATAAGTAGTCTACAAAAATACTAAAAGCTTTATAGCGCACCTGACTACCCCTCAACCCTGCAGCCTTGAAAAGGACATAACATTTTAGTATCTACAGGTCTCTTCTCGGGGCAAAATCTATCACTTGCATAATCATCTTGATAAACACAAACCGTAGAGAGCCAGCATTTTGGCTGCCTCTTCTAAAATGCTCCAGGTGAATGAATAGCCTATTTCAAGCAGCCCTGCCCACACGAGAGCCATGCTGGCACGCGTGGCTGTGCCTCTGCACCCACACCTGAGGCACTCTTGCTAAACCAGCATAAAATGGACCGCTGATGCTTTTGGCCATTTTGCGGTTTGGGCCACAATGTTTTGGAGTACATTAGCCACTGTCACCTCGTTGCAAAGCTCCCGGGGGGGACGTGCTTTAGCAGACCTTGCCTGAGCACGGTGCGGTGGACTGGATGACCTGCAGTGGCCCCTGCCTAGCCCAGCCGTTCTGTGGCTCCGCGGCCAGCGCGGGTCCCCCCGCGGGTCCCCCCGGGGCTCCCCCGGCCCGGCCCGGGCAGGACCCGCCGCAGCTCCGGCCCCGTCGGCCAGGACTTGCTGCCACCTCGTGGCCACGGATGACTGAGCCACGGGCATTGGAGGCCACGTCCGAGCCCCTGCCCGGGATTTGGAAGCGCGGGGAGATGTCCGACAGGTAGCCCTCGCATTTCGGAGGCAGGAAGGTGACCCTAGGGCAGGCAGGACTTCAGCATCCCCCCGCCGGCAGCGCCAGGGGCTGCGGCTGCGGTCGGGTGCAGAACTTCTGTAAGGGGCTCATTTTCGGTGTGGGATGTAGAGACGTTGAATTCCCTGGTCACTTGGGATGCTATGCCTCCCTCCTTTCCCCACCAAGCCTTAATATTGAAGAGGTCTGGGGTGGTGAGATCGGGGCAGAAGATCCCATGTGACAACAGCAGAGCCACAGCCAAGACTCAGGGTACTGCGGAAGAGAAAGGCTGTTCTAGAGACTTTGTGGGGCTTGTTTCTACCCAAAAACGTTCCCAAAAGGTGCTTAGGAAAGGATCCCCCCATGTAACAAGTGCAGCAGGTAGGGGAAGAGCCATCTCTGGCAAAACAGTGGATGCAATCACACGTCTGCCTTGCTCCTCCCTCCACATATGGCCAGCCTTTCTACAGGTATTAATGAATTTAGAACATGTCCCAATCCTGCGGATGGGCAAGCCACTTGTTCTCTCCATTTATGAGTGATCAAAGACTTGCTTAAGCCCACAGATACCCCATTGAAAGAGCAGGGACTGGCCCTTGGGTATGGTTTTAGAAACACCAGCTGTTTGGTGGTTATTACTATGGGGCTCAGCCACCCAAGTGGCGCTGGGAGGCACAGAGGAATCGCACACCAGCCACAAGGATGGACCAGATCCGCGTTTGTTTGGCCACATTCAATTTTTTTCTTAGAGTATTGCTGTTATGAAGAGAGAAGTCCAACCCTAACCTGTAAAGTGAACATCAGAGAGCCCAGCAGTCCCCCACATTGCCTTGGTGTTTAAGAGAACAAATATCTAGCTCTGTTTCCTCTGCAGCCAGACCTGCTGCAAGTAGGAAAATGGGCACCCAAGAGAAAGGCACTGGCAGAAATCATAGATTTCTTTCTCATTTGAAGTAAGCTTGTGAAATAAACTTCCCAGCAAGGAAGAGAGAGAGATGCTCTAAAACCCAGTTCTTCCTCAAGAAGGGAGCCAAGCCATCTTGTGTGCTTACACAGCAAAACATCTCAGAGGAACAAACAGATATTTTCATCAAATACTTTTTTCTTTTCAATGAGCTTTTTCCCCCACAGTACAATTTTTTAAAAGCCCTGAGAATAGCCAAGAGTCCCATGGCTGGGAGAAGCAGTGACAGCAGCCCCAGCTCTGCTGTGATCCTGGGTTGTGACGTAAGTAGTACACACTGCTGTGGTCAGGGGGAGGCTGGCACTCCAAAAAAACTAGGAATATTGTATAACAACAACTTACATAATTACCTATTGCATAATGCCAGGGGAAAGGCCCTCCATAACGCAGCTGTGGTTTCTATGGCATTTTGCTGAAACACGGATGCTTCTAGGGGATTCATTTGCACTTTATTTCAGGAGCCTGCAGCTCAGTCCATGCAGACAGACAGGTGAGACCCCTGTACTCACAGCAGCTTTAGCTAGAGAGGTAAGGGACATAGTAACGGGATCTTATAGCCATAGCAGGGCAATAGCATTGAGTTTTCTGAAGCTGTGACATTGACTTTGGTATTCAGAGGATCAGAAGATGGTCAAGTAAGAGCACCATCTGCAACTATGTTCATTGTGTAGCCTCTATGGCTTGTAGGAAATGAGGTGGAGTCTAACTGACGATGGCAGTAGCCAAATCAGGCTCACTCCTCTCTTCCCCTTGCTCTTAGACACTATTCTTAGCAGTGCCTCCAGGCAGGGCTCCCGCACACCGATGCATTTACACAGCTGAGAGGTGACCCGACCTGCTTGCTTAAAAAGAAGAGGAAAGGTTAGGAGGAGAAGATTTCAGCATCAGGACAAGATTTGGGCTGTGAGTTTGCAGATATGTGCTATGTACTTACCAGTATCTTGGCATGGATCCTTTCAGGGATCGTGCCCTGTGCCATAAAGTCAGAGGTAGCTTTACCTTTGCTTCAGTGCTCACAGGATCCAGCCTTTGGTGACTATCAGACATAACACAGGCATGACCCACAGCTCCTGTGCAATCACTGAGGCATCTCACAGTGTATGTGACACTGCACAGCACCTGGACAAAACACTTATCTCGGCTAAGCAGGACACTTATTGCAGACCAGTGCTTGGATTCAGTGGGAGAACATGTGGGAAAGCAGCAGGGCAATCCAGGACAAGAATATT